AAAGTGAAGCTTAGGCTGAGCACCATGGCTGACATTTGTAATCCCAGACACTTTGGAAGGCCGAATCAGGATTGCTTGAAGCCAGAAGTTTAAGACCAGCCTGGGCAACATAGCAAGACCTAATTTCTACAAAACATAAAAAAATTAGCCAAACGTGGTGGTGTGTGCTTATAGTCCCAGCTACTGAGGAGGCTGAGGTGGGAGGATCACTTGAGCCCAGGAGGTCAAGGCTGTGGTGAGCCGTGATTGTGCCACTGCACTCCAACCTGGGTGATGGGTGAGACTCTGACACACACACACAAAAAAAATGAAGTGAAACTGCTACTGGGAAGGCAGATGTGGGAGGATCATTTGAGCCCAAGAGTTCAAGTCTAGCCAGGCAACATAGCAAGACCTTTTCTCTAATTTTCTTTAAAAAAAAAAAAAGAAGAAAAGGAGAAACGAATCAGAGATTTGGACTTGAGCCCTTGGATTCCAGACTTGTGGTCTCTCCCCCATCAGCAAAGTTCTTGACTTTGCAGTCTGTGGGCCACACTCAACCAACAAACATGTTTTCTTTGGCCTGACCTTTGTTTTTGAAAATATGAATTACCAGATATTTGATTCCATGTAAACATCCAGGAGCTTCTCTTGAAAATAAAATTCCAAAATTTGGCAACCTTTGGCTCAAATTTCCCTGACAAATATCATCTGGAACCAATAGCAACTGTCTTTTTGGACAAATTGGAAGCTCCCATTCCCCCTAGGCCCTCTTCTCTCACATATGTGGCCTAGCAGGACGTTATGGACATTCTTGGGATTTTGTTTTTATTTGGGGGGACGTTTTTCCAACTTCCACAATAATTAATATTTATTGTGCATTCACATTTACCCATCAATGTTGATGATTGCTTCAACAATCATCAACATTTGGTCCAATGTTCCTTCCTTCTGTTTTTTCTTTTCTTTGGAGTAATTTAAACAAATCCCAGATGTCTTACTATTTTCCCATAAACACTTATCCTTATTTCTAGCAGATAAGGACTCATTTTGTTATATAACTACCATGTTGTCACGCTGAACACAGCATCTAATGCTTAGTTCATGTTCAATTATTCTTGACTCTTTCAAAAATGCCTCTTTCCCTGGGGGCATTTAAGTTTGGAACTTCTGAGTGACTTTTTGCTTCAAAGAGAAATGAGGACGGGACGGTGGCTCAAGCCTCTAATCCCAGCACTTTGGGAGGCTGAGGCAAGAAGATTGCCTGATCTCAGGAATTGGAGATCAGCCTGGGCGACATAGCAAGACCCCCCTCCTACAAAAAATAGAAAAAGTAGCTGGGTACTGTGGCACACACTTGTAGTCCCGGCTACTTGGGAGGCTGAGACAGAAGGATCTCCTGAGCCCAGGAGGTTAAGGCTGGGGTGAGCTGTGATTGTGCTACTGCACTCCAGCTTGGTCAACAGAGTGAGACCCCAACTCAAAAAAAATTTTTTTGTGCCTCTGCTCATATTACACACTCAGAGTAGCACTACTTTCTTTATTCGATATAGGGTCTCACTCTGTTGTCCAGGCATGATCCTGGCTCACTGCAGCCTCGATCTCCTGGACTCAAGTAATCCTTCCATCTCAGCCTCCTGAGTAGCTGAGATTATAGACGTGTGCCACCATGCCCGGCAAATGTTAAAAAAATTTTTGTAAGGCTGGGCGCAGTGGCTCACGCCTATAATCTCAGCACTTTGAGAGGAAGAGGCAAGAGGGTCGCTTGAGCCAGGGGTTTGAGACCAGCATGGGCAACTTGGCGAGACCTCATCTCTACAATAAATCAAAAAATTAGCTGGGCGTGGTAGCGCGTGC